ATATATACATATATGACTTCTTTTAAAACATTTATTTTTAATTTATGTGATATGTTTTTTGAAAGTTTAGCAGTATTGAAAAGAATTTGAGCAAAATATCTCTACTTTAATGTTTCTTTTTTTAAGAAGCGCAAAAATTAATTTTGATCTATACTAAAATAAAAAGATGAATAAAAATCATATAAATTCTATCAACAATTAAAAATCTGTTACTCTCTAATACTCTCGCGTAATATACATTATACAAATTAAGAAATATTATAGTTAATCTTTTTATAAAAGCAAACTTTGCGAAATAAATATTTGTGAATTTGAGAAATATAAACTTACGATTGTTTTCTGGATCGAAATTTCGAACTTCTTGTTGGTGAAGCTTAGTATCAATCACGATCTTGCGTATTTTCGTAGGCACATATAAACCTTTCGTATTCATTCCAAGAATCATTATCTGTAGCATGTTGTCGAGGAACGTTACCCAATTACTCATCCAAGCAATGTGTCCCTTATTCCCTGATAGGGATGCGCTTTTTAAGGAACGGAAAATGCCTGAATATTGGTAACCTCGTAATCCTAGCTCTTTATAAATGTCCTTAGTAGTCAGTACTTCTTCCTCATCATCATCTTCTGGCAAAAGATTAGCAGGTACCTTTTCTTGCGTTGGGTTCTTCACGACTCGAATCAATCCAGTCACAATCGGAGTGCTACTTTCCGATATTTCGAATCTTCCAGTGCCTGCAAAAATAATTATTGTGATTAATTAAAATATTCGTCAATATTAAAATATTCGAGAGAATATATACATATATATATATATATATATATATATATATATTCTCAGGACTACAGTAACATCAAATAGAAAACAATTCAAATGTAGAAATCATAAAATCAATCAAATTGAAAAATTAATAATAAAAACAGAAAAGTTCAAAAGACAGTTAATTAAAATAATAAAAATTTAGCACAAAATACAAAGAAATCAACATAAATCAGAGTCAGAAATTAAAATAATTAAATTATATTTGAACACAATTTTACACAATTCGAGCAATTAAAAAATTCAATTTTAAAATTTGAAAATTTTAAGCATTATCTAAAAAAATTAATGTGCATCCTAAATAAATAATAATTGCGATTGTTGTCACAATTGATGATTTTGTATTGGAATTATAAATTGTTATAAATACAGTTGAATTATATCCAGGAAAAAATGTTATATATATGGACATATTTCATATATAATTATATATAATTGTATATAAAATATGTCAATTTTTTATATAATTATATATAAACATTTTTTCCTGAATATGTAATAAGTTAAAACATATCAATAGTGACAATAATTGTCAATCACAATAGCATACACATTTTGTATGAATAAAAACACAATGAAATTACCTTTTTGAACCATTACTGTTAACTCAATATTGCCTTCTTTTGGAATATGAGTAGCACGCATGAATATGACATCTTCGAAGACAACTGATAGCTCTGTATACATTTCCTCTTGCAACGTACCCATAGTTTCCCAAACCATAGCAAGGTATCCCATGGCAGGTATTAAATTCTTCCCATCAATAACATGACCGTTCATATACTCGAAGTTTTCGTCTGTTATATTCATGGTAAGAGTTCTCTCTCCGGAAGTGACCTTCTTTTGCAACTTGAATGCTGTTACGTACCAGTCGTCAGTGTGTTCCCATCTTAAAGGAGATTAAATCATTTATTATCCTAATTTCTTTTAATAAAGCACGATGGGAATTCTAAAATAATTTTCATGCAATTTTTCTTTATTTTCTTTATTAATTAGCATTTTATAAGAATAATGATCAAAAAAGAAAATTGATGATAGACAAACGGTTAAATTGATGACAAATGATTAAATTTTGATGCACACTGAGCAAAAAAAAGTTTTGGATTTGTTTTAGACAATTAAATATTTAAATTCCAACAAGCCTACCTGATAGAAGGTGCGATCATTGGGGTACCACGGCTAACTGGATACTCGACGGGCGGAAAGAGTTTTGCAATATCCGGTTGTACTCCTGCGTTGTAGAGCTTGCCGAGTCCTTGCAGAACAACTTCGACATTGTCTCTGTGACCACGTTGGGTAAGCCCGATATTTGTGACTCCCGAACCAAGAGATCGCCTCAAGATAGCTTGTAGAAGAGCATGGGGCGCGATCTCGATGGTCACTGCATCCTTCGGGATCATACGCGCTGTTTCTTCGAATAGTACAGGATTCAGAAGATTATTTGTATGGTATTCGGCAGATGACAACTTGGCGGCCGCGGTAGACCATTTGTTGCGTGGTACAGACGTGCTCAGCCATTTTCTGCTGCGCGGCTTCGATTGAGGAATTATCTCGTTCAAATAAGCCAGAAGTTTCGGTCCGGCGGACGCGATATAACGACTATGATAGGGTATGTTGCTGCATGGTACTTCTTTCGCAAAGATTTGCTTAGCCTGTTTAGATATACGTAGATTTAGTTAAAATAAATATTACAAGAAAAACAATTTAGACAATATTTATAATTTGGTAATATAATAAATAATTAATTTATGATAAGAATTGTAACAGAATAACAGAAATATATAGTATACAGGGTCCCAAAATAATCGCTAAATATTTCGTGGACAGGTAGAGCGGACTAAACTGAGTCAAAAAGTCCTTTACTATTTCGTAATTTTCGCAATAGTTATTAACAATAAGATATTAATTACTAAAAATTGTCGAAAATTAGTCTACAATAATTTTTTACTCAAATGCTATTAACTTTACAGAAAAACTGCAAGACAAAAATTGTTTATTTTTTTCTCGTAGAGCTCTAAGATTTTTTCAGAATTTTTTATCAACTTTTTAGTACTGCATTTTCTTATTTTTACCAACATGAGAAAATACAGTATTAAAAAATTCTGAAAAAATTCTTAATTGTATGAGAAGAAAATAAACAATCTTTGTCTCTTGCAGTTTTTCTGTAAAGTTGATAGTATTTGAGTAAAAAATTGTTGAAGACCAATTTTCAGCAATTTTTAGTAATTAATATCTTGTTAACTATCGCGAAAATTACAAAATGATAGAGGACTTTTCGACTGAGTTTAGTCCGCTTTACCTGCCCATGAAATATTTGGTGATTATTTTGGGACGCCCTGTACAAATGTCGCATATATTGCTATAACGGCTATAACTAACAAGCTGAAAGTTATTTTAACATCATTTTACTTGTTGAAATCTCACTTACACACGATTTAGAAAAATTTTTGACAAAAAATGATTCGTTAAACAAACCTGTAATTGGGCGACAAATTCTTTCATAGATTCAGCAGGTCCACTAATAGTGCTACTGTCAGAAGCGTTATGACAAGCCACTTCGATGTCAGGTGGACACATATCTTTGATGTCCTCGTAGCCAAGACCTACAGCCGCCATCGAACCATAAATTACTTTAGTTTCGATAGACGCCAAACCCCTCGAGTATGATGACAAGATCATTTGTTCGGCGGTGAAGCATCCGTCTGCGTAAGCGCAACCGAGCTCTCCGACAGAATGACCAATAATATTATCCGGCACAATACCTACCGATGTAAGGAGATCGACTAGACCAATCTATAAAATTCATATTATATCAGAATATAATGAAGAATAGTAAGCAATCTTTTAAATTTAATGATTCTACGTTTTTTTCTACTTTAAAACCTTAATTATTCATTTTTAATTTAAATACTGTAATATTTAATTCTAACTTAAATTAAATATATATAATTTTTAATTTAAGAGTATATTGATATATCTTATATAATTTATTAAATTAATTTAATTTTTATTTAATTAAAAAAGGTTTATTTCTACGCCAATCGTTTTTTTTTCATTTTGGAATATACTTACAATTAGTTAATGTTTTTTCGTAGAATATAATTTATATTATTAAAAAAATAATGTGAATGTCGTAATTATATGCAGCTCACCTGTACTGCCGCGATACCCACAAATGAGTGTAAAATATTGTCGAAAATAGTTTTATCTTTATTTGTTAGTATATTAATAATATCTACACCACGTGGTCGTAAGACGGCATCACATTTCTTAACAGCTTCGGCAAAGACAGGGAATCTCATCAGCTCGATACCTATTTGAAATCAACAAATATATCGAATAAATAAAAAAATATAATTATTTTCATTTTTAGAAATTAGAAAGAAATTAACACAATACATACCCATACCAGGCCATTGAGATCCCATACCGGAAAACACGAACCAAAGAGGTCTCGCAGTTCCCAAATAATTTTCTACTTCTCTTATGGAATGTTCCGCCTTGGAGCCAACTATTGTGTACCCTCTATACAGATGTCCTTGGATATCATCATTGTGAATGTCATGTAACAGACGAATATACTCAGTGTCTACTGGATGTCTCTCGATCTACGAAAACGAAAATTAAATTTCTCATGAATCTATAACGAATCCAATCGAAGGTGAATATCTCAAACATTTCGCATTGCGTTAGTTTTTTTCCGAAGAAATCTTATTGCATTGTATAGAAATATGCTTAGAGATAGCATAACTATTCCAATTTCATTATTAATCTCTATGACAAATATATTTTATTCATTTTCTGACATGTGTTTCAGTTAATTTTTATATTTTTTGTCTCATAATATGGTTTTTCATTGATTTTTACTTACATCATCTAAGAATACTTTAACAGAGTCCTCTGTACGTCCAGATACTGTTACGAGTCTCGGTAAATCATCAGATGGTGCTCCATTGTTAATTTTATTTTTCGGATGAGATTTTAATACGATATGGCAATTGGCACCTCCAAAACCAAAGGAACTTATACCCGAATAAGTGCCTTCCCAAGGTATTGATTCAGTGACGACTTTCATCCTGCCATCTTCAAGAGCTTTCAAGCCTTCTCGTGGCCGGTTGAAATGCAAATTGCATGGGATTATTCCGCTTTCCATTGCTACTATTACCTGTGATATATGTTGCAATTTAATAAATTACTAAATATAGCATAAATTTCGCGACTGCCTCATGGTTTTTTTTTTTTTTTTTTTTTCAATAAAACATTTAAATATTTGCAATATTAGCAACGATTTTAATTAACATTAAGTAAGTAAGAGATAAATACAATACAATTCTTATTTGGATAAATTCCACTTTTCATATTGTGTGTGCGCGCGCGCGCGCGCGTGTGTGTGTGTGAATGTGTGTCGGTAAACTATTATCCGAATTTACAAAAAACGATCAATAAGAAAGCAAATTCATAAGTTAAATTAATAATTAATCAATATATATATTTGAGATTCAGCAACATTAAAATTGCATACAAAAAGTATTAAAATACAAATCGTCATTTTTATTGTTAATTAAAGATGTGCATAAACGCCGTAAGTCTTGCCGTAGTTTCTGTGGCAGCATAAAGCAACTCAACACTATCATATATACCACAGAATTATATTAATTAAGTATTAATTTAACATCTTAATTTGTTCGTTTATTGGTCATTTTTTGATAAATTGTTTTGCTGTGTCAAACAATCAAACGGTTATACATATAATTCTTATTATCCGAATACTCGAATACTGGAGTCGAACACTTTGCAGTGAGAAATAAAATATTAATATCTTAAGATATTTATATTTTATTTTTAACTGCAACAGAAAACGCAAAAAAAAACTTGGCCAACGTTACACGGTGTTCCCAAGTGGTCACCCATCCAAGTACTAACCGTGCTCAACGCTACTTGACTTCAGTGATCGGACGAGAACTGGTATTATGTATGTGTATGTATTTTGTTTATTGAAAAGGTAAGTACATTTTTAAGTAATATATGTCTAATAAACAAAAAGGAAAACGACATTTTATATTAATAGTTGAGTCCGGCGGACGGTACTCTGACACTCGCCGCCAATATTATCTAGAGAACTAAAAGTAATCTTATATTCGAAATAAAGTGTCATATGTAAATATATGTATAAACCCAATATTAAGGTAAGTTTGGAATCATTAGTATTCCACCAGTACTTAAGTCTATTATTTTTTTTTTTTTTCAAATTTGATTGGTCAGGGATGGATACATCATATCGCCACGTAATGGACGTGTTATTGCTATCGGTATTTTCAGGGTATATTATTTTTTTTCTGCTATTACGTCTAGGGTAGTGATAAATTATGGGAATTCCATTTTTATCTTGTAGATATTTCTTTTGATCAAGATATATAAAAGCTTCCGGGGGAATATAACCCGTGGAAAGTGTTTTTTGATGGTACATGGGATTCGGATAAAACGCTCCGAAGATTAAACCATTTTGGAATAGTTTACTAGCTTATAAGAAGTGGTCATGCATTAATCCTAACATATAGTTATCAATACGCGGTATTTTAGCCTTATTATACATATAGCGTCAAATTGCTTATGTATTTGGCATAATTAGATTCGGCCGATCTATTTATGTCCAGGCAGGATCGCAAACATTTTCTTTCAAATTTCCTGACCTTCTCCATAAGGGATGCACTAATATTGTACCATATGGGACAACCATAAGTAATAATAGGTCTTATTAAGAGTTGGTAACATATCAGTTTAACATCAGTATGAAGATACTTAGAATAAAAGAGTCTTTTTAAGCCCATAAATGATTGCGTGGCTTTTTTAAGTTGAGTCACTAAATGGTCTTTATAGTGCAATCTCTCATCAAGAAGGATTCCTAAGTATCTAACTTGTTTTTTATGCGGAATTTTTTTCTCACCATTCGTTAGAGAACTTTCTAGTTGAAACAATTTGTAATTTTTTCTTATATTTCGATTTGCATCATTCAAAGGAGGTCTGAATAATATTGCTTCACATTTGCCAATATTAACTCAATGTTTCCATGTTTTAAAATAATATTCTAATTTGTGAAACACTTCCTGTAATTTTTTTTGTATTTCAGATGTCCAGCTATCTGCCAGGTATATAATCAGGTCGTCCGCGAAGGCGATCGCTTGCGGATTTTCGGTTCGGTTTAGATTAAAAATTTTTAACATACCAGAAGTATAAATACTAAAGAGTATGGGAGAATTAACCGTTCCTTGTTGTAATCCATTATGTATTTTATATGTGTTTCTGGCCAGCTCGTGTCCATACGCAGTGACGAGCGAGCGTTCTGAAATCATGCTCCATACTAATTTAATCAGATATACAGGGAATTTATTTTTAATTAGTTTAAATAACAAACCATCCAGCCAAACCGAAAGCCTTTTCAAGGTCAATTAGCAGCGCACTTGTTGTCATTGAGAGTTAATATCCGAGGTCAATCTATTCAGAGCGTGAATCGTAGAAAAGTTACGTCGAAATCCAAATTGACATTCTGGTATGATCTTATTCGCGTCGCAAAACTTACTGAGGTTGGTCGTTAATGATCATTTCAAAAACCTTACTAATATTAGGAAGCAAGCTAATAGGTCTATAACTAGCAGGTGACTCTTTATTTTTATTTTTTTTCAGAATTGCAACAACCTTAGCTGTTTTCCATTTCTCCGGGAACAAAGAATAATTTAGCAAATTGTTGAAAATAATAGTATAACTATGTATTAAATTTATGGGCATATGTTTTAGTACTATATTGGGGATTCCGTCAAGTCCGTAGGATTTTTTATTATTTAGTTTTTTGAATCTTACGTTTAATTCTTGAGTGTTAATGAAATACTGCTTATTTTCTAAGATCGGATTTGGATTATCGGCCGGATTGTCAGTATTGAATTCACATATCGTAATATTAAGCTCTCGGTCACACTTAATTTTATCCTTAAAAGCATTTGTTTCTTTGGAGATTACATTATTAAGTTGCGGTCTCTCTCTCGTTATCAAAATCTTTGTTGTTAATACTAGCGAAATGTGTGCCTATTACATTGAGTTTATCCTGCAGAGCATCAATAATTGCGAGTCCGTTATTATCAGTTATAATGTTATTTTCATTTAATCTTGCCTTCTCTAGAATGGACGAGTTTACGTCTACTTTTAAATTACTTATTTCCGCATTTCTTTTTTTCTAAAGATTTTATTAATTTTAGGAAACATTTTAGCCGAGTCTTTCTTTGAGATATTTATAATTTTCTTTTTCCAATATTCACTGATGGAAGAAGCGAATTGAATTTTAAGTTGTTCTTTTAAATTCATTAATTCTTTTTTCAGAGATTTCATTCTGTATGTATTTATCCTAGGCCACTTTCTATTGAGTCGGTGTATTTGAGTAAGTATTTTATTTTTTTTGTTTCTGTAGTTTAATTATCTTCGAGTTTAGATAGAATTTTAACGAATCTATTTCTTTAATTTTAGGTACAGATTTTTCTACAGCTTCTAATATTGCTTTGTTGCAATCCAGTAAGTAATTATCAATTTCAGGTAAAGATAGGTTTCTATTATTAGGTATTTCTGTAGTATATAATTCTTGTAGTGTTTTTTCAAATTTGTTCCAGGACGAGAACTGGTAGTTTAAGCGTGGTATGAACGTTGGCTGATTGCTTGCATTATTCGGAGCCATTTTACCTGGTTTTAATCCGAAAAGAAGATTTTAGAACATGAATATAAATATAAATGAGTCCAATTGACTGGACTCCAGTATTCGAGTATTGGGTTACAACAATTATATGTATAACCACTTGAGATTGTTTGACACAGCAAAACAATTTATCAAAAAACAATCAATAAACGAGCAAATTAATTTAACATCTTAATTTACTTGTTTATTGATCGTTTTATGATAAATTGTTTTATTGATGTAATCTACTACTGTTTTATTATTCAATACACGTTATTCTAATTTTTAGCACAAATGTTTAATTACAATGTGAAATTTGATAGCTTGCGACTGATTTAGTATTAATGTTTTGTTGTTTTATATAAAAAATTGTTTATTTATACAATTGGTTGCATATTGTGTTCTAGACAAGATTCATGGTTGATCATTGTCGGTTGAGATTGCAATTCTGAATCGCTGTGACTACGTTAAGGTCATTTAATAAGAGAGCAGTGTGCTGTAACGTATATGTAATGTTAAGATTTCATCAGCTATTTATTGTTAATTTTATACATATTAATCAAGGCTCCCGTTTTGCGAAATGATACACACACGACGATATAGTTTATTACTTTCACCGTTCTTAATCTTTATTATGTTTTGACATGTTGCTATCTAAATGAACTCTGTTGATTTTATTTTGTATTCTTTTTAAACATTGAAAATGACCTAATAGGGGTCGAAACGTTTGTGTAATAAACTTATTTTTTTAGCAATTTATAGAATCAAGATCCAGCTTGGCTTGTAGCCCTTGATTCATTGTTAATTTTATAAATTGTTTTGCTGTGTCAAACAATCAAATGGTTTTACATATAATTGTTATTATCCGAATGCTCGAATATTAGAGTCCAGTCAAGTAGAATCATTTATATTTATATTTCTATTCTAAAATCTTTTTTCGAATTGAAACCAGGTAAAATACCTCTGAATTATACAAGTAATCAGCCAACGTTCATACCACGCTTAAACTACCAGTTCTCGTCCGATCACTGAAGTCAAGCAGCGTTGGGCACGGTTAGTACTTGGATGGGTGACCGCTTGGGAACACCGTGTAACGTTGGCCAAGTTTTTTTTGGATTTTCCGTTTGCAGCTAAAAATAAAATATAAATATCTTAAGATATATAAATTAAGATATTTATATTTTATTTCTCACTGCAAAGTGTTCGATTCCAGTATTCGAGTATTCGGTAATAACAATTATATGTATATAACCGCTTGATTGTTTGACACAGCAAAACAATTTATCAAAAAACGACCAGTAAACGAGCAAATTAAGATGTTAAATTAATACTTAATTAATATATTTGAGATTTAGCAACAATAAAATCGCATACAAAAAATATTAAAATATAAATCGTCATTTTTATTGTTAATTGAAGATGTATTTACATAAACGCCCTAAGTCTTGCCG